TTTGGGTTTTCACTGCATAAGTGATTTTATTTAGAGTTTTGCTGTATTGTTTTATGTTTGTCACACTCTGAATAGAAGCAGCTCCTGTTCTCCCCACTTCCCACTGACCTGTGCTGCAAACTCACTGCCACATTGTTCTGCAGTCCTGCAATACTTCTACTGACTCGGATCACCCTTGGCTTTATCCATATCACCAGTACACGCAATACTTCACCTAGGCTTCTCAACGGTACAGTTGCTGTTTTCATAAAAAATTATGCAGTGTTAGGATTGGATAAAACCGAAGGCAAATTTTTGTCAGCTGTCTGTATTGAAACTTACAACAGTGCTAGCCACAAAACACCTATCTATTTTAGTGCAGGCAAGCCCTATTGGCAAGTCCCAGGGAGACAGGGAAAAACTTCCCAGAAATTCTTTCCTCCTGTATCTCTTAGGTAGCACAAAAGTTCTGGAGCCACCCAGTGTGCAAAGTCTGTGGTCCATTTGGCTTTCTAAATTGAATCTCTTGGAAGCTTTTGGGATTTGGAGGGAGAGTGGGTTATAACAGAAACTGTGCTCCAGCTTCTCGCACTGAGAAAGATTCTCCTAGGAAATCTCCTACAGCATCTATGGGAAAATGTCCCAGGTGGCAAATATGTGTCTCTTACACAACCTCTATTGTTACTTCTTCCATTCTGGCCTTCTCTCCACTTCCAATAGCACAAAGGAGAACAGAATGTTAGGCTTTGCATAAATATACACAGTATACTCTGATATTCTCATGTGGCACAGATACTGTACCACAGCAAAAGGTACACTGCAGCCAAATGACATACAAGGAGGTACACAAGAAAGTAGGAGACAAAATTCTGTGCATATTGAAAAGCTGAGTTCTTTCACTTTTCTGTTGAAATAGTAGTTAAATTCTATTAAATAGTTTTTTGGTTTTCCCACTCTGAATGCTGAAAATTATGAGACGCCAAAGGCTATGCCTGAACACTAATCAATAACTCTTACATCCTGTAACAGAAAAGCTCTAATCTTGTTCCTTATTATATTATTTACCTCTTTCACTCAGTTATCATATGGTATACTTGGCTGATCACAGGCTAATGGAGTAGATGATTAAACAGTTTACAAAGTCAAATCTGTTCCCTTAGAAGATACGTGAAAGAAAAAGTGTGCCACCTACATCTGCTGGATGGAGATAAGTCCATTTTATAGGAGGAGAAGCAGACTCTGGTTCTGCTCATGAGCTCTAAGAAGTCAGGTCACCACGAAGGGCTGGAGTCTGTTTGCCACCTTGTTTGGCTTCCTTATTTTCACAGTTGCGGTGAAACCTATTAATAGTGGGCTGATAAAAATTTGACTTTGCTCACAATTGACTATAAAATACACCTGAGTTCCTAGAAAGGCAATCTTCTCAAACCAAGTTTTTAACTGGTTTTCTCAAATGACTATCTTAGTGGTTGGGGCTGCATCACTGCAAACTGTGGGAGTTTTGCTATTGGTAACAATATCTCCGAGGAAACAGCAGACAGTGGAAATCTATCTCTGTTTCTTGGTAAGGTTTTTTGGCTTTTTATTCAGTTTCCTTTCCTGTTGATAGAGATGTTGATCTGAAGTGTTTAGTTAGTTTTAAGTCACTATGGTGACTTAAAAAGAAATAGTCAATTCAACTACTGACTATCAAAAAAAAGTCTATTCAACAAAGCTTATAGGAAAAAAAAAATAAAAGGCAAGCTTCTGTAGAGTTCATCTCACTCAAACCCATCCCTAGTAAGCCTTTTGGTCACTGAAATGACACCTGCAATATTCTCCCTTAGGATTTTAGTTAGCGATATTAAAGATTTGGGCCATTATATTTAGCATATTACTGCTTCTCTTTGTGCTTCTGAATTACACTGTATTCAGAATCTGTCAGTATTAGAGTATACTGCAGGCTCTTTTCTGTTTATTATCACTCTACAAGGAGATTAAATACAATAAAGAACCACTGTTAACAGTAAATTCCTATTTACATTGTTGGTAGGTACTTTGGAAAGCTAGTTATGGTAATTTCTTCATATGTTATAACATAAATATGTAGCACAATACAATAAATCAGTCCCAGTCTCACAATGATATTTTTTTTTTATAGATCTCATTTTGAATGTAGGCATACAAGTGTTGTAAGGTATTTCAGAAATACACTGACAGTTTAAAAATAGAGTGGGTTTTTTATGTGATAACATTAATAATTTCTTCCAAAATGGGAGCACAGAAATAAATATTTGGAATCTATTAATTTTTGCAATGCTTTTTTTCTCCCAATAAATCTTTAAAATTAAACAAGAACTAAAAATGAATCCAAGTAGCACATTTAGATCAATCTTGGTCGAATAGCATGAACCAGTGTTGATCACACTGAACAACACAATGGAAAAGCTGATTATACGATCAGTATACAGGGATGTGTGGAAGAAAAAGACAGCTGTTTCCAGTGAATCGTTTGAAGCTCTGCCTGAGAGAAAATATCCCTGGGTTTCATCATAGAGGGAAGCAACAAGTAATTTCAGTAAGTTCTGGCACAAACACTAGGTTCTCAACACAGAAGGGCGTTGTTCTTCATATTAGAAATACCATTTCTGCAACTGTGATCAATAATTGCCAAAGGATTAGTTTTGTTTCTTCTGGATTAAAAAAATAAATAATCTCTTGTATACTATCTTCTATCCTGACAATCTGCAATAATGTAACCAAATTAGGGAAGAAACAACTACAGCAACTAGACATACATCCAAAGACTCAAACTACTGTAGTTAAATATCTTGCATGGGTGCTCCAGTTCCAGATCTGTGCTATGGCACATGTAATGGTTTTCTAAGGGATGTTGTAACGTCAGACTTCTAGATGTAAAAGACAAAAAGAAAATTACCATACCTGACCCTTTGAGAGCATCACTTACATAAAAAAAAAGACTAAGGTAACTGTTTATATCACTACATCATAGAATCATAGAATTATAGAATCATTAAGGTTGGAAAAGGCCTCTAAAGTCATCAAGTCCAACCATCAACCCAACACTACCATGACCACTAAACCATATCCTGAAGTACCACATCTACACATTTTTTGAACACCTCCAGGGATGGTGACTCCACCACTCCATCATAATAAAGTCATGTAAGACACTCCCACATCCTGTGCATTCTATCATCAACAGTTCAATGTGACACATGAAATAGCAGCCTGGGATCCATACTACACACTGTCACACACATCTCTTGGAGTCTCCCAGGTCCTGTAAATTAAAGGTTGGATTCTCAGCCATGAACTGGCTAAAAGGTTTGGAAAGACAGAAAAAGGCACAGAGAAATAGTTGTAGCTTCACCACTGTGGGGTCTTTTTACTCTGATTCTTGTTCCAGCATAGTCAAAGCAGTCTCACACATGTCCTCAATTACCCCAGCTGCTTGTGGTCACTTGATCATTACCTGGGCACAGAACCACTTAATGCTCACCTGATCTGCCCCTCAGCACAAAACCTTTGACAACAGGCTACCAATCTGCTATTCCAATCAACTGAAGCCAAGGATTAGTAAAGACCCTTTAAGGGCACAGCCATACCACAGATGAGAATTTGGCCTTTGATTTTTACTTGTCACCTGCACAGAAATGTTAACCATTTGCCTAGGCAGATGGATATGTACAACTTTTTTTTAGATTTTTTGCCAGCATATCTTCTGCCTGTTCAGATGAAAAGAACACTTCCCATCAAGACTTCTATCAGGTTTAAACTATTCAATTCTTTAATGTAGTTGTCTGCTTTTATCATTTAATTTGAGCCAATAAAAAAGCAACTATCTGTGCTGTAGTTTAAGAGAAACAAATGGGTCATAAACTTTTTTCCTCCACAAGCTCCACTTAGAAACTTTCTTTTCTTATTTATGTCACAGCATTCCTTCACAAAAGGGTGTATCTCGTTCACATAAAGATGTGCCATAGCCATGTTCATCAAAGCACAGGAGAATTTGTTTTGCTTAATTTTTAAGCCACTTTTAAAACTGTTGAAAATTTAACTTGACTCAAACATTATATAAATGGGGAAATATGTGTTCAAAGGAAATCAGAGGAATGTGACTGAAAACAACAACAACAAAACAACAAACAAATAAATAAACAAACCATCCAAAGAAAGAATAAAGAATTCAAATAAAAAAGTTGATCATTGTGGGCCTGGTCCTCATTTCCCACGACAGATGTAATTTAGGAATCAATCCACTCAAGCTGGTCACCAAGGTCAAAGAAGAATCACACGCTTAAGATCACCTTACCAAACAAAAAAACTCCAATTTTGAGAATTACATCCAATTTCAGATTTTATAAGGTTCACCCATTCATACTTTGGAGTGAGAACTTCCCAGGTTGCAACACAAAATACTTAGTAAAAAATATATGGAGCTCTACAACTCCTTTGCATAACTTTTCTGGAGTTGCACTCTCCCAGGCTGGACTTTCTTCTCTCTTTCCACCATTCATTTTCTTCCCCCTGGTTCTGTCAATTTTAATCTATCAGGGAAAATCCTTTTCTAGCAAGTACTATCACAATATTCAGGACGTGAGCCTTGCACTGTAAGAATGCAGTGCTGTGTCCAGACAGCAATACTGGGTGCCTCAGGGATTTATAATAATCAATATGCATATTCCTAGCAGTCAAGATGTGTTCCACTGCACAGTTGTGCACCTCTGCCTTTGATTTTCTTTGGGTGCATGTTCCCTCCAAGGCAAATTCTATGTAGCCAGAGTAGTCTGTCTGAAGAGAGTGATGGTTCACTGCTAGCTGAAGGGAGGAAGATAAATCTATTACCCATTACTCTTGTAGGACTTGACTAATTATCCCCAATAACTCCAGCCTTTACAATGGGAAAGTAGCACACAGCTTTTATAAATAAGAATTACTGACCTTTTCAAATAGTTTCAAAAGAAGAAACTCTGCATCAAATATGAGTATAATTTAGGAACTACTACATAGCAGCAAAACTACATTAGACTTTCTGATTTTTCCATGGTATCCTTGGATAGATACACCACCCAGTAGACCATGTTAAATGCTCCGAAGGTAACAGGAAATAAAATGCGTGCATATTTGTCTATCTTACTCGTGCCAGAGTGGGAGGCAGGGGGAGCAGGTGCTGGGACAGCAGATGGCTTTGTAGATGCTCCTAATGTATTAGGTGTGGTGGTCTGAATCTGCTCCAGTCTAGATCCAAGCAAGTGCTGAATGGAAGGGGATCCAGCTGTGGCATGCTGGGATACAAATCCAGTTAAAATTGGGGTAGAAGGAGGAGCTGGTGGGGTAGCTCTTGCAGAAGACAATGTCTCTGATGCATTGACACGTGTGAAAGGGTTGGGACTTGATGCAGAAAGGGAATGGGTTGTACTGTCAGAAGACCCCTGAGCTACAGAGGAAGGATGGATGGAGCTGTGCCTTGTGTCAATTCGGCTCCCACCAAGAGCTTCAGATTGTACTGTGGCATTTGTTCTTTTCCTCACATTTGAATTGGCATCTGTACTCTGTAAAATGACCAAAAAAAAAACATTACTAGTCATTCTTAAAAAAAAAAAAAACAAACAAAAAACTCTTAAACAGAACCAATGGAAACTTTATAATCAATCAATATCAGAATAATACTCACAAATGTAACCAGTAGTTTGATCCTGGAGCACAAAAATACCACATGCTTGTGAAAATAGATTTAATAGTATATGAAGTGATAAACAAGAGTTCCTTTTACCTGTGTCTGGAATACCAGCATGAACACATCCGACCCATCGTCTCCATGTGATGTAGTACACAGATAAACTTACTACCATGAGGCTAAGGATTCACAGGTGAGAGTCAGGGTTTTTTTCCCCAGGCTCATGCTCAAAATAAAATTCTGTGGTGTTGATCTATTTCTCTGATGATATAAAAACATACTAGATGCAACTTACCAGCCATAATGGTTTACTTCTGTTTTATATCTCCAGAGGAGTAACTACCACATATTAGGAACTCTAGTCTGTCTTCTAGGGTAGACGCTATTAAAATACAAGTATTTACCAAACAAAATTACCACATTGCTGCTCTTTCAGAAATAAAGGCACTGCTTTTTCACATCAGCCACAGACAATAAATTCTCCAGCTGCAAATGAACAAGTGAATAAATCACTTTCATGAACTACTCCTTTCCATTAACTAAGAAAAGTGGTGAATACTCCATCACTTGATGAATTCAGGCAAGTCTGGTTGTCTTCTGAAAGATATACTTAAGCTAAATAGTACTTATTAGGCTGGATGAGAAACTGAAATACAGATAAGGAAGTACAGATGGGAAATTCAGCAGAGTTTAATATTTTACTGACTTCTGGGAGGGGGAGTCATGCTCTTTGTCTGTCTTTCTGCATTTAAGAGGAAGCTCCTTCTGGAAGGGTACCAGCGGAACATACTTTTGAACCTTCAGTCTTGCAACTAAAATATAATATAAAACATATTATATTTTAGATACAATATATGAATATATTTTGTGCAAAGACTCACTACTTTCCAAAAGAAAAATATTTAATGGCAGATGTGGCATATATACTCAACAGCAGCAATACAGGTCTAAATGCACGCAGGACCAAACAATTACTTTTTCTATATTAAAAAAATAAAATAATTTAAAAATCACATTTTGCACCTCTCTGATGATTTTGTTCCCAGGCATTGCCCTGCACCACACCTACTATGCCTTTGGCTCCCCTTCCCTTCATCCCTACCACAGAACCCTGCCAAGGCTCACAGCACAAGGAAAAGGGAGAGGAAGTGGGCAGCAATCTCTCTTCCCTCCTTCATCCAACTGGAATTCTCTCCGGCTATGTGCCAGAGCAGTAACAGGGAATAACTGAAGTGTTATTCACGGTACTAGTACTTGAGTAGTGAGGAGAGTGACAAACATGTCTGTCTGCTGCATCAGTTATGCTGAGCTGTTTGGCTTAAGTAAACTGAGAATTTAAAGCTGGGGAAAAAAATCTGAAATAATAAAGCAAAAAATACAAAACAACAAGAACAAGAACAGCAACAAATCACTTGGGATCTCCAGTACTCCCACCATGGTCAAAATCCTGGTCAACTGCAGTGCAAATCAGTCCCCAGCAATACTGCTGGCTGGAATCTATCCAAAGCTGTCACAGCTATACGTCAGTTCGTGGCTGATGTATTTGCCAGCTCATGGTTGATCTATCAAAGAATCCTTCTTCGCTTTCACAGTTTTCCCTACTGCATAGAAGCATGTCAATCTCTTTTTTGGTTTTTTGGTTGTTTTTTTTTTTTTTGCATCTGCAATCCAAAGAAGCAGAGGACTGGAATAAATGCCAGAGGAAACTGGTATTTCCTGAAAGAAGCACTAATTGTACTGTTTGAAAAAGAAGCCTGAGTCACTCTTTGGGAAGTGCAGAAGTACACACAGGTGTGCAGTTTGGATACTTTCACACTAGGGTTGCAAATGACCCATGAATAGTAAAGCAGCTTTCAAGACTAAATTGAAATTATAAAACACAATCAAGACAGGAGTGTGTTTACTAAAGACTTGGTAATACCTGATGGAGTATTGCACATTACTTAGAGGCTTGCAAAGCTCAGCAGATGCAAGTAATCTGTGTTGACTGCCCAAAACAATAGCTCTGTGCTATGGAGAAGCTGGCACTGGAGTCATTGAAAGGAGGTGAGTTTTACCTCCTACATGCAGATCCTTGGACAACCTGGCTCTGCTCAAGTAAGATTCTCCCATCATAAAGCTCTCAAGCAGTGTTTGGGGAGCAAAAGCCCAGGCGCTGGGACAGGGCTTGCAAAGTAGATTGGATAGGTCTCTCTTCCCCATTACACAATAATGAACATAAATATTTAAACTATTTCAAATGTTCAAAATGTGTAACTGTTTAGAAGTCTACTGGGCATTTGCTCTCTTGCCACTGATAAATAAAACTTGCAATACTTCAGGAACCTTAAATTTAGAAAGAAACAGTTTCCTCAGAAGTATTGCCATGTACATATAAAGCCCAAATAGCTAACATTGTAAGATATCACAGTCTAGCAGTGCATAACAAGCCCCAGAAATGTGGGTACATTTTTTTGTTAATTCCCTGGAAACCGCATTCCAAGTACTCTGAGCATGGAAATTAGAAACTGTATTTCTAACAACATATCACCAAAAAAAAAAAAAATATTGTTACTGTGTAATGTCATTGTAATACCTTGGATTTGTCTTCTTGAATTAAACTTTGTCCTTGAAGCATACTGAAACAAGCATGTTCCACAGAGAGAGATGCTATATTATGCACAGAAAGGCTGGGGCATTGGCCTATGTTAACCGTTCATAGTCACTCTAGTAGTGCTAGGAGCTGCCTAAATATTGGAGATAGAAAGTGTCCTGGGTCAGTGCTTATCTCCAACACCTTATGCACCCCAGAACTCCAAAGAGGAACACATTCCAACGTCTGTTCCTGGTGGGCTTTGCAGAGGCAATGTGCAGCAGCAAAACAAGAAGCATGCAGCCTGCCTCGCTTTTTTAACTCCTGCTGAGTGGTGAGCACCCAGCTCCATGCTCTGTCAGAGTAGAGCAGAATGCAAAGTCATTGCCCACCATATCACATATCCTTTTCTTGCACTTGCCTTACTCAAGATGATATGACAATAGCTCATTGTCCCCTTCAAAGCACTCAGGTGTCTCTCCTTTTTGGTTTCTCTGGTTGAAAAGTTTCTAGCAAAGATTCTTTTTATTGGTTGTATACATACAATCCCTATAAATTCCTCTATGCAATGTTATAAAGATAATTCAATTCTTCCTATATTAGTCTGTTCCTCCTCTGTACTGATGCTATCTCACAACCCTACAGAATCTAAAGTTTAGTGCCAAGGTCACTGACAAAAACCTGAAAGAAGGCTGATTCCACAGCCAAGCCTTAACAAACCAAATTTTGTTGACATCAGCAGAAGTCAGGATAACCACTACTTTGCAAAACAGTAAAATGCAACATTCAGTTTGTACTCAGAAAAATGTTCCACGGATATTTCTGCTATGGTGCATACCCCTACTAGAAGGATATTGTTATAATGACAATCTGACCAATAAAATTATATATATGGAGAAGCACTTGTTGCCTCCCAAAATTATTTTATTTAGTCTTTTTAAAAACAACAGAAAGAAACAAAAACCTACTGCCTATCAGTAGCTTTTAGTTTGGAGACACTGTACTGGGTTTGCATGGCAAGTTTTTGGTAGTGGGAGGGCTGCAGGGATGGCATCTGTAAGAATCTGCTAGAAGCTTCCCCTATGTCAAATACAGTTAATGCCAGACAGCTCCAAGTCAGATCTACTGCTGGCCAAGGCCAAGCCCATCAGCAATGGTGGTAGCACCTCTAGGATAACATATTTAAGGGAGAAAATAAAACTGTGTAAGACCAACCGCAGCCAGAGAGAGGAGTGGGAATCTGTGAGAGAAACAGCTCCACAGATACCAACATCAGCAAAGAAGGTGGTGGAGGAGGAGTCTGCTCTGGCCCTAGAGCAGAGATTCCCCTGCAGCCCATGGTGAAGATCACTGTGAGACAGACTGTACCCCTGCAGCCCATCATGGTCCACACTGGAGCAGGCTGATGTCCAAAGGAGGCTGTGACCCCATAGGAAGCCCGTGCTAGAGCAGTAGTGAAGAACTGCAGCCCCATGGAAAGGACCCACGTTGGAGAAGCTTGTGAAGGACTATCTCCCATGGGAGGGACCCCACACTGGAGCAGGGGAAGAGTACAAGGAGGAAAGAACAGCAGAAACAATGTATGATGAACTGATTATAAACCCCATTCGCCATCTGCCTGTGCCACTTAGGGTGGGGAGGAGGGAAAGAACTCAGGAGTGGAGTTGAGCCCAGGAAGAAGGGAGGGATAGGGGGAAGGTGTTCTAGGATTTAGTTTTAATTGTCTCATCACTCTGCTCTGATTTGATTGGTAATAAATTAAATTAATTTCCCCTAATCAAGCCTCTTTTGCCTCTGATGGTAAATACTGCGTGCGCTCCCTATTCCTATCTTGACCCACAAGCCTTTCATTATATTTTATCTCCCTTGTCCAGTTGAGGAAGAGTAGTGATAGAGTGGCTTTTGCTGGCACCTGCCATCCAGACAGGGTCAACCCACCACAGGCACAAAAACAAAAAATTAAAATGTGAAAATCAAATGGAAGCCAAATTAAAATGCAACACAAGAAATGAAGGGATTATCCAAGTAAAGATTCTTTTCTGAGGACAAGCCAGGAAACCACTCAGTTATCCTGAGGCAACAGAGAGCTGCTGTGCTAGTCCAGATGGGGCTCCACAGGAAATACTGAGTCTACATTTTTTACTCTAGACTGAGAAAAGATCTGATTTTCTGGAGGCATTTCAGTGAGAATTTTAGGAGACATTTAAAATGGTGTAGCTCAGGAATGTAAAACGGAAGCCTGGAAGCCACTATACATTGCAGTATATTACAGCATGCAATGCCAGTCAATACATTTAATAAAG